CTGACGTTGTATTTAAACTAGGAACGGAGGCCCTTAGACTGGGACTGTGCGATTGCGGATGTGCGGCGTCGCCGGCGCTAGCGGTGGACTAGGACAAAAAGTCATTTATTGAGTTGGCCGCCCACTGCACAAGAACCCCCACCGCCCACGGCGTACAACCCACCCCCAATGGCCGCCAGTGGACGCCAAGCGGGCGCGCGTTACCCAATTAATTTAAACATCCGAAGGACTCAGGTCACAGGTTTCCCCAATCATTTCCAGCGGACAGCCGTTGGCTTTTTAATGAAGGTGAAACGGGAACTTCCGAGGAGGTGGCCCGACATGTGGTGGTTAATGGCGTCAGCAAACGACTGCCAGCACCCAGACCCCCAAATCCAATTTTTTCACTTTTGACTCCAGATATTTCGTATCTGCTGTGTGGGCATAACCCCAGAAGTGTCATGAGTAGGTCCGACTTAAAGGGACCGATTACCATAGAACGAATTCCCTTTAAGGTTGGTTCATTACGGGAGTGTAATTTTAAAAGGAATTATTTAGCCATTTACTGTTTGTGATAAAATACGAAGAACTAACGAAGTGCCAGACCTCCTCGACTATAGAATGCCCTGCATTCTGTTAAGCAATGAAACGTGAGTCCAGATCAATTGTCTCTAATCAGATGCAGTGGTCTAGACACATGTCCACGCATTCTAGGTCAAAGACAATCTCTTTATGGGCTTTAAACCCAGTGGGACTGCCCACTGCGCAACATCGGTTTTCGGTATTAATAGAACAACATTGTCTTAAATCAAGCAAATGAATGTCCGTACTAATTTCGAGGCACACTCAATCCCTAAACGACGTTGGATGGCTGAACGATCCTACAAAAATATGTGCCAGGACGCTAACCCATGCCACTTCGTCGGGGTTATGGGGCTGGGCCGCTCTAGTTTGTGGGTCTCGTAGAGTCGGGGGGAAAGGGAAGAAAATAGAAGCTTAAGGAGCACTTAGTCTCAGCGCAGATGGAATCTTTTAATGTTTGCCGGCTGGGAAAGGGTAAGTGGAGCAGTCGCAGCGGACTTAACGGACAGAACGCTGCTGCTAAGCACACCGAAGCTTGAAGTAGTTCTCCGCTGATAAGGCTCAACCCATTGGTTTCGGGGGATGGCGCAGTACTAGATGGTCAGCCCCCCTCGCGGATTGCCTCTGCCTGATAGCACTGGAATGTTCTCAATTGAAGTGAATCATATCCTCAACCTACAAGTGAACTCTGAGTAGAATGGAATTGGAATGGCGATTTTAATACTTCATTCATTCGGCGGAGTGATGGTGTGCTCTTCTGGCAGCGTACTACATGCTTATTTATTTGTATTTTGTTGACACTGTAAGAGCGGGTCGAAGTTGTTGTAGTGTATGTGAACTTTCCCTAAAAAAGATATTCTAGCGTTTCATATCTACAAGATAATGCATTCGTATATGAAATGAAGTCTAGAATCTGCATGTTCAACCCAATACTTCATGTTATATGGGAAAAAAAAAAGATTTCCAGCACATACTTTAGGAAAGATAGCGATCTTGCCCCATATAGAACATGACTTAATGCGGCAATCTAATCGCCACCCCCACATCCACAAACTTTCAGCCCTTAGTGCCGCCTATCAATCAGTACGGCGATTGGCGGTTGATTTCCCGACCCAACTGGCCAATCCGCAGCCCCCAGTTCCGATCTACGATTCGTTATTTCGTCGACCCTCGGTTATAATTAGCAATTACAACTCGTTACCAACGATTACAGTGCCGAATAAAAGTCTTCGTAGGTCTCACAGGCGATTTATCCTGTCGACCTGGCTGAATCCTTTCTCAGGGTTTCTACCGAGATAACCCTGTAGATCGGAAAGTTCCGCCCCAAAAAGTTTTTCATAGACTTGATAACGTATGCAGACTTCTTCCAGGACATTTAGTTTAGTTTGGAGGAAGGTCATGTTGTTTACCGAATGAAAATGCATCTGTTTGTAGACTTTAGTCAGGCACTGTAAGTCTTTATCAGCCAGGGCGGTAATAATTTATTGCCAATAGTTGCCGTCTTGAATTTATTAATTGCGTGAAGTAATTTTCGCTATTTTCGTCAAATGATTTCACGATCGCCCGCTATCTGCGAGAGTGCTCGGCCATAGGCCAGCCAACGTGGCGCGGGGTGGTGCTTACCGCCAAATACAAGCTATCCCCACCAACTTAGGGAAAAGGATTTTGATAAGATCTCCCCTCTTGCTTCCCCCTGATTTCCTGTTTCTCTCTCCAAATTCTTTACCATGATATTTATGGCATTACTCGGGCTATAAAAGACAGAAAGATGAAGGTAACCCTGTATTTAATTTAAAAAAGCTACCTTCGCCAATATTTGAACTGAGTGCTGAAAAGCGACGAATGTTCGAAAGAGCTAAGCTGATTTGTACACATTGAAAATTTGAAAAAGAAACTTCAAAATTACAATCCTAATAATTTATATGCAAATCTAAAATATATTTTGTGATTAAGCCGTTTTGCTGTTTCTATTAACACCCTAGCACCACGGGCCCCAAGCTGAAGTCCCACTGAGCTGCCAACTTTGTCAGCCGACCCAGCTATTGTCTTTCATCAGCTCCGGAGATGTGCGTGAAGAGCGGGCCGTGAGCTAAAGTATCGTGAGGATAACATAGACTTAGGATATCTCACAGAAGCTTTGTTTTAATGCATGCTTTACTCTAAGAAAGTGTTAACAAGTAAGTACAAGTTAAGCAATTCGCAAAAATTATGTAATTAATGTACCTGTTTTATATTTATAGGTATCGAACCAAACAGAAACAGGCTGGGACTTCGTAAATGTTGTTTAGCCGGCTATTGCGGACATTACGTATACGCCGTGTAGTAGAATAGCTGTTGGTGAAATGCTTTTTTTCAGTGCAACTGATTGAAAATCTTGAACTCTAAGACGAGCCCCCCAAATTTTGAACAACCTTATTAAGCAGAACATTTCCCTTGAAATACTATTCATGTTTTGGCCTCGCCCCTCGTGATTGGCAAATGGCGCAGCGCACATCTCTAACTGTCAGTTCGGGTCTACGCAAAAAGCCGCTCAGCCGCTCCGGCGAGCAGCTCTGCTTTTGATTAAGCTCATTTGCATTTGAATGACAGTACTGGTCGGTGGTTTTATGTTACTCCACAGGCCAGTGGCGGTGGCGGTGGCTGCGGCGGCGGGAGTGGTGAATTTCTAATAAGCCAAGTTATTTGCGCATGACTCAACGGCAGTGCGTCGTCAATAATATTCATGATACTCCGCTGGTTCGGGTCGCTTGTCCAAGTCGTCTATTTACTAAATTTACATTCTCGATCGTTCCTAGCTGCAAGCCCAGCCCAAGACAAAAGTATTTTTAGACGCTAAATCTCTAGCCAATCAGTCTGTGGTAACGCTCGTAAACATCTGCCGAGCAAGAGAAGCGACTCATCATCAGCGCCAGTCGCCTGACAGTAACTCGAACTCACGAGTCAACTAAAAATATCTGATTATTAATTTAATAATCATTCTGCTGTTCCACAGTAGACCCCATTTTTCAGTGTATTCAGACTTCATGTGACTGTTTGTAATTAGTAATAGCTTTGGAAATTGAAATCCACAAAATGCAGCATATTTTTTCTGCTCCGTTCTAATACGTTTCTGCTCTCATCCAAAAATAATTTTCCATAATTTCGCCATCACGCTTCACTTTTCTATCGCATTTGTTGTGGCACATATGGTGTGGCTGCGGGAGTAGCGCATTTTGGATGAATTGTTTACGAAATTAATTAATCAAAACTACTGCAAAAGCCAGAACTCAGAGACAACAAAAGCGCTCCACAATTTGTTACCTGTCATTTGTTAGCTGGCTCCATTTCCTCGCCCCGCTAATTTTTGATTGTGTTTAATTTTTGTCGCCTCATTGTTATGGCAGTGGGGCATATGCCACTTCATGCCACTTCCACTCTTCCACTCTTCCACACTTCCCCAAAACATTCGAACATTTCTGTGAGACTTGTTTGCCGGCGGAAAACCTTGAGAATCGCCTAAAATGTTTTATTTATAATATTGTCGCTGTGTTTGCTAAAGGTTGGACATGGAGCACAAAGAAGGGGATAAGTCAGACTAGTGTTGTACCTAAGCCCTGTAGCTTTCAAAAACAATGAAACCGAAAACCTTTTCTAGATTCCGAATGTAAAAGCACGAAGTAGAATTAGAGAATTAGATAAAACCAAAATGACTAGCCAATATCCATGGTAATTTACCTAAGGAATAAGCGATCTAAGTGCATGCTAAACATGATCCATTTTATTATTGCCAGTACATCCAGGGCATCCTTGCCGCATCCAGCTGTCAGGATGGCCATATGGATAGAGCCACCCCCTAGGGATGCACTTCAAGACCCGCCTGATAATCGAGTTCATTTAAATGCATTAAACTTGTCTCATTATGCCGCAGTAATTGCATCAGCACGTTGAAACCAATCCATCGGCCGTCCGTCTGACTCATTCGAATGTGCAAACGAACAGCGGGCCTCGGACATATGGCTGCAGTGGGCCGCAAATTGGTGAGCAAACAAAAAACATTTTATGCAATTTGTACGCGCCAAAGGAAAACAAGGAATTCTGCGGACAGTCGGGGAGAGAATTATATCGTCAAATTGTCGTATAGCCAGGTTTATAAAGCTTTCACTTGGGGACATCCAAAAAATGATCCCAAAGTGCTGTAAGTTTAATAGGCAAGCCCAGCCCTCTAACCCATCCACCATGGTGAGCCACGAGCCAGTAGGACAAGCCAAGTAAAGCACTGTGGAAAGCTAATAGTGCGGCCCCCAATGTGGGCATTCGAAAATTGCTAATGTTGTTGCTGTCTAGTGTGGCCAATTTATTATTGCATTTGGCAACTGGGCAGTAAAAATTCGGGCTCGCTTTGATCTTGACGCGTTTTTGACACTCGCCGAGCAATTCGTCTATTTTCTCTCAGTCTCGGGAAGAGAAAAGCGGCGGATAGGGTCGGTGGACAGCCGGCGGCATGTGCTGCGCATTTTTCATTATTTTTTCTTTTCATATATAAGTTTTATTTTTCTTCAAAACGTTGAGAAAAAACGCTACTCATACACATTTCGGCGCATTACTCAGCTGCAAGCGGTCGTCAAATGTAAGAGTTTTTCTGCACGTATTTTTAGCCTCGCTCGGATCGCGCGATTCTATATGCAAAGCATATTCGTAATTTAAAAGCTCAATCATAGTCGCAGAGGTCGGGCCAATTGCATTGGCTATAGCTAAGCTATTTGTTTGTCATCAACCCCCAGGGGTTGCGAGTGGGATCTGAATCAGCGTGGCTTACGTTGATTTAACAGTTTAAAGCAATGAATGGTTGGTCTGGGTATAGGCAATCGCTGATTCCAACTCAGAATTTGCGTTGAATTTGCTTTGTTTATAAATCGAACACTTTACCTTGCGCTCTAGCCTTGCCAATGAACAGACACGCAACAAAAGCGGGCCAATTCGTTTCTTTGGTCACCAGGGGCTCTGTCAACTGGCAGCCGGCCAAGGCGCACGCACCGTGGCGCCTCCGCCGCCCCTAGGAAAGGGCATCAGGTGACGTAGGCGGCGAAGGAGGGGTCAGAAGATGAAGCACTCTCAATATAGTGCGTCAGAAGCGACGATATCGTGGAAATAGCTCAGCCCCGCCCCTTCCTCCTGTTCGCCAACCTGCGGCCTTGACAGCGCGCCCGTTTTGATTTATGCGGCATTTTGCAAAAGTCAACAAATGAAAATGACACAGATATAATGCCAAGAAAGCACCATTTCGATTTCGTTTGCACCAAGGTCGGACGTAAATAAGATGTCACACTGCCACCAGCTGGACCTCCGATATGTCTTCTCAACCAGGAATTTAATCGTACACAAAAATCATCTAATACAAAATGAAGGATATTTTCAAAAGCAACCGTAAAAAACTATTTTGTTTTTTTGTTATTATTGGAAAAGATGCCTGAACCAGAAATTCGAAAAGTAAGTTATCTTCGTGTTTACTGTAAGCAGTACGTTATTTTAACTCTCATACTTCATCAGGTTACTTGTATATCCCGAAACTGAAAAACTTTAAGCAACTGAACCAAGTCGCCATGGGCGCTATGGGGAGCCGTCAGCTAAATCCCGTCCAATGGGGAGACTACCAGCAAAGCTCGGGCCTGTCTGCAGAGCAGTTGGAGCAGCTGCACACGCGATTTCGCAGCTTGGATCGCCACCAGCTTGGCTATTTGACGCCTACCGACCTACTGCGCATACCACAGCTCTCGCTTAATCCGCTTCACCGTCAGATTGTGGATGGCTTCTTTCCCAGTCGGGATCCTAAAGCTCGACTCGATTTTACCCAGTTCGTGGACACCTGCGCCACCTTTCTGGTACCACAGTTTGGACGCGGATCGACTGGACGCCTCGACGGTCGCGCCCAGAAACTACGCCTTCTATCTAAGATGTTCGATACCCGACGCAGTGGTTACATCACTCGCGTTGACTTCCGCCAGATCATGCGTAGCCTCCTGGATCCGATGTGGAATAAGCAGCAGGAACATGACAGCGAAAAGGAACATGCCGAGGTCCAGAAGCCCGAGGTGGAGGCTGAATTGCTACTTCTGGAACAACAAGCATTCGGAATATCCCGCTGCGAAAAGATCTCATATGGAGAGTTTGAAAAGCGCCTGTGCAGTGCCGACATTGAAGGACGCATGTCGATAGCCAAGTGGCTGGTGAACGATGAAGAGGCCAGGATGAACCTGCCATGATTTATTATCGCTGTGTGTTTCAGTTCTGCATATGAAAAAAATAAACAAGTCCAGACAGAACTTCCGGCGCCGGCCAACATAAATTACCAATCGCAAATTATCATTAGTAAGGAAATTGATGTAAATGTATATTTCTAAAAAAAATATTAATTTGTTACTTTCAAACACCAAAGGCTCAGATATCACTAATTGTTTTGGTAGTAGCAGCTCTCATGACGAAATTAAAAATATATATAACTGATTAAAATATATAAAATTAATATTCTATAAATATCTAAATGAAACAAGTTTTGATTAATTTCATTCTGAATATTGATTAGTCCTGGCCCAAAAGTAGCCTGTAAATTTTTATATTTAATTTTTGTAGCATATTATCTTTTAAGTGTTGCATACTCTTGGCCGGCTGGTCGAGATACATGGTCGGGACATGATGGCACTTCAGCCCTGGTTTTAGCATGGAATTTTTGTAGCATTCTGTCTTTTATGTGTTGCATACTTTTGGTCGGGTGGTTGAGATAGAAAAAAAATTATGGTACTCCAGCCCTGGTATTAGCATAAATTTTTTTTGCATATCCACCTACTGAATTTTCTGTTCGCCTGGTATTTCGAATGAGAAATCTCCCAGTTTACCCGACAAAATTGACCACGGCTCGGCTCAAAATTTAGCTGAAAGCATGGATTTGTACCAGGCGAACAGAAACTGTAGCAAGTGACTATTATGTTTTTATATAGCGCAGTATCCACCTACTCAAATTTCTGTTCGCCTGGTATTTCAAATGGAAAAAATCCCAGTTTATCAACAAAAATTTACCACGGCTCGGCTCAAAATTTAGCTGAAATCGTCGATTTCTACCAGGCGAACAGAAACCACAGCAAGTAACCCGTTATCTTTTTAAAGCGCGCAGACTAGAGGTGGGCAATCATGTCAATTTGAGTTTGTGTCACGAATTTTCCACGACAGACACGAAAATGTTTTGAGTTTCCATGTGCTTTGATAGATCGTGATAGAAATAAGTAGTCACGCGTCCATCTCTTAAAAAACGGTGATTAGAGTAAACAAGTGATCCCGTTATATTTTTTTCATGGCGGCCAGACTAGAGGTGGACAATAATGTCAATTTCAGTTTGTGTCACGAGTTTTGCACGACTTACACGAAAATGCTTTAAATATTCATGTGTTTTTATAGATCTTGCTGAAAATAAGATGTCACGCGTCCATCTCTTTAAAAACGGTGATTTGACTAAATTTACACTTGCTAATATTGCTGTGCGCCTGATACTTGGAGCACAGTTTTGGGACAGAGGATGCCAGACTTTGTTGATAATAAAATAAATAATAACTAATCATAATAATAAACAAACAAAATAGCTTTGTTTATTTTATTCACAATAAATGTTTATTATAATTTGTTAACAGTAGGGAAATAATTTCCAGTAGAAGATAGCTTTCTCCGCATTAAAGCGAATCAGTGCAAAACTCCTAGTGCGCCTTAAGATTTTTGTATGTTTGATAAGGTTCTTCGTGCTAAAAAAAAACAAAAAAGAAACAAACAATGTACACATACATATGTACCTTAATTTTGAACATGACTTTATGGCGGCTATAGAGCTTCTCTGAGCTCTTTAGCGATTCCATGTGCTGTGATTATATTGAGTTTACTCGATTGCGCTACGATAAATGATTGAGCACTGAGAAATCGATTATATTTATGTATGTATGTTTAGCATTATGCGCGAAGAGATAATCGTAGAAGCATTTATGCCTTATGGTTTCTAAATACAATTTCTAAGGTACGTTATACATGATCCGATCTACGACGATTCGATTAGTTTATAACATTTTTATAGACTTTATTATAATTAAATTTCGATTTTGTAAAAAATTTGGTTTCACGCTTGCATTAGCCGAGCTTTTCGTTTAGTTATGTGCTATATAAGTAGGTATACACAAGCCGTAGTGTATACGTACTAGTTGTAGATAAAAATAATTACAAAAAGGGTCTATAATGTAAGAAAAAAATACTTCCCCGCAATCAAGAAACATTACTTTACACCAGTGCCAGATACGGAGGAGAATCTTTTTAATCCTCATACTCTTAATCTGCACTATATTTCTATTGGCGTCTCACAGTTCGTTCTCGCTCCCGTCCACTTTCCTCCCGTTGCAGGCTGCCGTGGCGGGGCGGAGAGGTGTGTCCGGCGGTTGTGCCGCTGCCGTTAAGCACTCGCGCCTTGCGTGACCGCTTGAATTTGGCCATATCCTCGCCAAAAACGTCGCCGGTTCTTAGGGCTGAGATGAGGTCGTCGAACTCACCCTTGTTGTCTACGCCTCCTCCCTTGGCTGGAGAATCTGGGGCTCCGTCCGGCGAGCCAGACTTGAGGCCCAAGTTGCGAGCCACGCTGCTCATCAGACCGGTCTTATTCTTGCGCTCTATGGTCCGCTTCTTGAGCTCAGCCTCCTGCTTTGAGCGTTTCTCCTCTTCCTCCTGGCGTCGGCGGAAGCTCTCATTGTCATGCCGCGCCTCCGCGAATGCGCCGAGGAAGGAGTCAAAGATTCCGAAGAACTCGTCGGGCTGCAGCACAGATCCATCCTCGCCGAACAGACGTACCGCTCTGTCGAAGCGCGTCTTCATGTCTTGGAACTTGTCCTCCAGCTCTGCAAAACGCACCGACGCCTGCGCGTGGAACTCTCGCATCACTGGCAGAAAGCGGTCACCCTGCTGGGCTGGACCTGAACTGCGATGAAACTCAATCTCGCGAGCCACGTCTGCCAAGCCTGTGCGTAACATCTGAATGTCCTTATCCATCTCGCCCAGCGACACTTTGGAGGCTTCGCGCACATGCGGGATGTCGTCCTCCAACTTAAGAAGGTCCTTAAACTTGCGTTCGATTACCTGGACGAGGTAGTGTAGCAGTGTGGTGCCCTTTGCGGCACTGGACTTCGTGTCTGCAAGTCGGTTTAGCGACGCCAGCCGGAATCCGGAGGCATTTCCGCGAGCCCCGCGATTCATGTAGTTTCCTGGTGGGATTTGAATTGATTGAATTATTGAGGATGATAGCTAACTGGTAGTAAACTATACCCAAGGCCAGAACCAACTCCAAAAGCTTGCGCAGGCGACGGGAACGAGCTACTTCGCGAGAGGCTTCCATAACACTGGTTATGCGAGGAATCAGATCGTTGATGGTTAGCATAAAACGCTTCTTATAGTGCAGACTCTTCAAACGCTGCTCGTAGTGGGGAATCCTAGGAATGGATGATTGTATAAAGATAGGTTCATAAGAAATATATAAAATAAAACCAACTTTGATATCTCATAAAGAAAGCGATCGGCCCGCGCCAGAGACTCAATATCCTCGCTGTGCTCGTCCAGTAAGGCTCGCTCTTCCGCCGAGGGCGTGAACTTGAGAAGTTGCTCGACCATGTCTAACTGCAGTTGCTCGTTGCTATCCATAGAGAGAATGGCCCTGGAAGTGCATTTGGTTAGCATTTACGGACGGCTGAACCTAAAAAATCTTACTTTGATATCTCTATGTCGCTCATCTTCAGCTTACTCAGCAGGATCGTGCAGTTCTGCGCCCTGCGTCCATCGATCACCGATAGCACTTTCTGCTTGGCCGCCTTGCCAGTAACCCTTAAGTCCTCATAGGATCCATCGGTGGTCTGGAAAAGACGGGGGGTTTTAGCCGAGACCCGGGTATATTATGAAGATTCCAGTTCTCAACTCACCGACACCCCGTTCTTTTGGTATGCCGAAAACAACTTATCTATCGACTCTAGCTCCATGTTATTGTATAGCTTGCTCTCGTCCAGTTCGCTCCACACTGTGCCTTGCAGCTTGGCGTCCGGCAGTTTTGACCAGTTGAAGCTCTTAAGGGGATTCGTCGGCTGTGGCACATTCTTCTTTGGCAAATCGGTTTTTGGTGGCGCAGGAGCTGAAGGAACGCAATTATTAGCAGTCGGCGATACTCGGATTTAGACAACTTACCCGTCGTTTGAGGCATGCTAGGTGGTGGTGGGGCTCCAGGGCAGGGAGGTGGTGGTGGGGGCATCATGGACGGCGCCATGGGCGGTGGGGGCGGCGGAATGGCCTTGAGCATGGGAGGCGCCTGCGGGGGCGAAACTGCCCCGTTGCAGCCAGTCAGACCGGCCACCTTTTGGTCGTCAGGGATGCTGCCCTCGGTAACCAGCCGCTCCAAGCGTGCACGCTCCTGCTGTTCGCTAAGTAGACGGTGCCAAAGGTCCTCCGCTCGCATCTCAGCCGTCTGTGCCCGTTGCACGGCCTGTGAGTGCTGCGTGGACTCTTTTTCCAAACGTTCGCGCATACGCGCTAGACCCGTCTCCAGGTCCTCCTTCTCCTGCATGCGCAGGTCGAGTTCCTGCTCCTTCTTGGCCAGTCGCGACTGTACGTCAAAGTTCTCGCGCTCCAACTCGTCAGCCCTCTTTCGCGCCTGCGTCAGCTCTTCCTCCTTGACTAGCAAACGAACGAGCTTGGCCACGTCGATCTTCAAAGGTGCTACATCAGGATCGTGGACTGTCGAGCCGCTAGCCATTTTTATTTGCTTCTCAGGGTCATCCGGATCGGAGATGAGATCGCTGCTCGGCCGCTGTTCCACCTGGAGCACAATTTGTTGCACCACGCGATCTATTAGCAGCCAGTGCTCCGTGCAGTGGCCCGTATCTGATAAAGAGTTGAATAGGGATTAGATGAGATTTTATAAGAACTGAAGGAATCACTTACAGGGAAGCAGGAGCATGTGCTGCAGAAGAGAGAGCATGTGGGAATAAGCGGGGGAGTGGCTAAGCTTGCGGCGCAGCAGCTCAAACATTGAGCCTGCGCTCTTGGTGTCTACATGTTCCTCGTTGAAGCGGCGGGCAAATTCCTTCTCATCCTCGGCACGCACCATCTCAAAGAAATCCTGTAGTAAGTTTAAAGCAAAAAGCATTAGATAAGGGCTCTCTAATTTGATTTAGGCACTCACCAAATGCCGGTCCAATGTCTCGTTCTCGTGCGTTCTCAGCTTTTCTATCACTGGTTGAATGCCTAGCATGAGGAACTCGTATCTCAAGTGCAGTCGGAAGTCGAGGTTCTCCTGGCCGGGTCCGTAGTTTAGCACCGCATTCACGAATGACATGAGAGCGGTCTTCAGATTAACATTGTCCCTGTACGCATAGGTGGAGCGATCCAAATCGTTGACTATGCTCTGGAAACGTGTCCGCTCAGTGGCAAACTCCTGGAAGTAGAGCATAGCCTGCAGCACCTTGCGATGACCGCCGGGCACTAGGCATACGGCGCCCAGGATCTCCAGGGCGGCGATCTTGGTGCGGATGTTATCTGCGACCAGGGATCTTGCTATCGTGTCAATGGCCGTAGGATGGGCTAGGACGTGGGCCCGTCCCATCGAATTGTTCATCAGCGCCTTTATGCAGCCAATGAGACTGGTGTGGAGAGGGCTGTTGGCTACCCGGATGTCCAGCTGGAGCAGGAGATCGAGCAGGGCCGGCAGCCCATCGAGCTCCACAAATCGGAGCACGAAGCTGTGCGTGGAGGTGCGCAAAGCCGTCTTCACGGCATCGACAAAGGCGGCATGGCCATCTAGGCGGTTTCCCACCTCATGGCTGGGCGAGTCTTCTGGTGAGAGGGATATGTGTACCACCAGGTCCTTTAGTCGCTCGATGTAGTGCTCTGCGGTGGGAGGTTGGGTGATGGCCGCCGCATCTGGTCCATCGCCTGTATCTAGGGGCAATTTCCTCGAGCAGTATATCTGCCACTTCTTCTGCGCAGGAAGGCTCAGCATCGCCTCCTTGTTGGGGGCTGTCAGATCGAGCTCCTCGACCAGTTCCGCGAATTTCGAGTCCAACTCATCCACCGAAGGCATGGGTTGCGTAGGCGTGAGCGTCTGCAGGGTGAAAGCCCCTTCCACCACGCATATCTCAGGTGGCTCATCATCCTGGAACAGAAAGATATAAAAATGCATTAGTGGACGCTAACTCAGGCGACTGGGTTCTCCGCCCTCCACCAGTGCGTGTCGAAACCATTGTACAACCTCGAGCTGAATACCACACCAAGTAGGCAAGCCAATCCGCAAGATTAGGAAACAGTTCTGCTCGCTGAGCTTGTGGCAACTGTTCGGCTGTCTAGTCGAGGTTTCAGTTTTTGTTTATTAGCCTCATTTTTTCTGTTCTAACTACAAAGCTATTGACCAGGCTTTATTTATCAATGTTTGGAGATTGCATGTCTTTAATGAATTTTTAAAGATATTCAATTTGCACTACATTTTCACCCTTAACTAGCTGGCGCGGAACACCGGAAAATTTAAATTAGCTATTGAGCTTCTATCAGATCCTTCCTAACGCTACGTTACTTATCGCGCGTATGCAACTTCGTGTATATTTGACAAATTCACAGAAAACAAAATTGTGAAAGGTTGGCCAGCGTTGAGGCAGCGTTCGAGTGCCGTCTCCGATTTCGATATGCAATTGGGTCTTTCGGGTGTGCGAGCTAGGCACGTGACTTCGCCTGAATTTTTCTTTAGCTTGTTCTATATGGTGTAAGAAATCAATTAATATTCATTTACTTCTCTTTTCCCCTCGAAACTGTATCTGTGCTATCTATTGTAGATGTTTAATTTTATTTGTTGAGGACCTTGTAAATCTTATACCGACGACAGCTTTGTTTGCACCTACCTTGAAGCAACCGCACCAGACCCTTCTGCCTCTGAACCCGGGCATTTTCTTTTTCTGTTGGTGCCTGTAGTGCTTCTGGAGCGGAGTCTCGTTGCTACTGGTGCTGTCTGATAGCCACTTCCTAAATCCAAGACTACAATTATTGCTGCTTCTGTTTCCGTTACAGTTGGCGCTCCCGCTCCCGTTGCCGTCAAGGTCCTCCTTCAAACCAAAGGGATACCCAAATGTGTAGCCTAGTATGTTGTGGGTGTAGAAGGAACCGGCTCCGCTGCCCAGGCCGTTTTCATGGTCCGACTGTGACTGCTGCCGCTGCTGTTGACTGCCGCTGCAGCTACTGTCACGGTTGGGAGCGCTGCGTCCGCTGTACTGATTCCAATAGCGATATAGTCCGTGGAAGCAGTTGTAATCTCTGAGAAAACCTTTCCAATGCTCAAAGTAAAAACGCTCCTGGAAGTTATTGGACGAGGTGTCGCTGCCGTTGTTGTTGTTATTACCGTTGCCGCTGACGGGGTGGGTGTTAACGTTGCTACTGCTGCTGCTAATGCTAATGATGGGCAGGGTGGCGGTACTGCCCTGGTTGAGGTCGAGGTCGCTGCAGCTGTTTAGGCTGGTGATAGACACCAAACTGCTGTTCTTATAACAGTCGTTGTTGCTCGGGACGTCTGTTTTGATGGCTGTAGCGTTGTCACTGGTTATCGTTATCTTAGTCACTCCAGCCGCACTACTAGTGGTTGTTGTTGCGTCGATAGTAACTGCTTCTGCTACGCCCGCTCCTCCATTGATGGCAATGCAGTTGCCGTTCAAGCTGGTCACAGAAGTGCTGGCTCCCCCGGGCGACGCCTTGGTCTTCTCTAGCGTGCTCTCCGGACTTGCCTGAAGTATTTCCGAGTTGGCACTGTGCGTGTCCGGTTCATTGATGCACACAATGGGACACGACTGCAGCGTCTGCAAAAGAGACCGAGAGGAGAGAAACGTTAGTATTCTGAAGTTATTGACCTGACCACAACATTGTGACAGCTCGCTAAGGCCGGTTGACAAGCTGAGGTGTTACACCTGATAAATGGCCGTCACCAACCACCGACATAAGCCAAAGCAACAACTACACGAATTACAGACCAGACAGCCTTCAAAACGGACCAAGAAAATAAATGCAATTTAGCAATATTAAAATTCGGGTTGTGGGTGGCCTTTACTAACATAAACGTGGTTGCAGTTTAGGTTCTAATGCAGCTTTGACTCATGACCTGCCTAACTCAACGGCGATAAACGCATTGCTCTAGTGATATATATATTAATATAGCCAAGGAGTGGCTAGTGTTTCATTTGTGAGCGATTTTCTTCGGGGGTTTCCTTGTAGAACTAAAATTCATTTCCTTCTGCTTTAAATTACAATTACATTGTGCTGCACAATCGAAATTCTATACACTCAATAGCGCCGCTTAAGACGTAATCGAGCAGCGGTAAGAGGCAGTATTAGCAATTACATGCTGATGATAGCTTATTAATTTGCTTTTATTACACCTCTATCCGATTCCGAATGAGTGGAGTGCTATTTGGGCACGGACTGGAGCTGGTGTAGGTATTTGAAATGGAATAGGTGGCTCGCTTGGTTCGTCCGACTTACTCAATCTGTCGATGGCTCCACTTGCGTTTGTCGAAGCGAGTACTCAATCAATAGCCCCCAACCAGATAACAGTTTTGACTGGCTGGGGTTCTCGCATGGAAGGATTAAAATTAATGCTGAGTTTGTAAATACCAAATCAACCTTAATCAATCTTAAGACGGAATTAGCCATGCAAGTTTTCCATCTCCGTCGGGGAACAATTTCAGATGCAGTTGCCCCAGTTACCAACTGTGTCCGAAGCCAGCTGCTGTGACAGCTTCTGTCTCAGCTTTGTCTCCGCTGCTGTCGTCGATGTCACAAATTAGGTCAATGCTTAAGCTTCGGTCTTTGCTTCCTAGCTCGGGTCACACCAGACAGCCTCCATTCCCATCTGGGTCTCAATAGCAATCTCCGTCTGACTCGCAGTCCACAAATTGGTGCGTGGGCCCGCTCTACTAATTAAGTCCGCGCTTAAAAGGCCCGTTTTTGGTCTACACGCGGGCCTAATTAGACCGACCTTTTCTTTTGGCCAAATGTACATTATGGAACATCATGGAATCGACAGCTTGGTTCAAAAATTGTGTTCTGACCAAATCAAAGCCAAAAACAATCGCAATTGAAATGTGTAATGCCTCGTTGAGTTCTTAATAAAATCGATTGGCATACAAACCTGAAAAACTTTTGTTCCGTCCATTTTTTCAAAAATTAATGGTAAAATTTTGAATTTTGAATTTTTCGAAAAATGTATAAAATGTATTAATGTATTAATGTATTCCAAAGCAGTAAAATTATGGCTTAAGAAAGTTAGCACTTCCGAGAGATAGGGCAACGCTTGCTACAACTGAGTAAAGTGCTTATTTTTACACATGTTTAAAGTGCACTTCCGAGTACACCCACTGGCCAATCAGGCCACGGAGTAGCGTAATAACTTCATAAGAGTGAAATGGACGACTACGAGTTGGGGATCACAGATCTTCGGTGACCGGCGGGGGAGCTGGATCTTTCGGACTAGCCAGTTCATCGAACAGCTGCACTGCCCTTAGCAGCGGCGAAAAATACATTAAAGCATGCAAGCTACAGCCAAAATGAAAAACTAGTTTTCACCGTGCCAGGAAAATGAAGAAACATATCGAAAGCGCTCGCACAGCTGACAGTCAGACACTTTTCCTTTTTGGCTTAGCAAATCACCGCCCCAACGTTAACAGAGCTCATCATTACTCACTTTTCCGGCACTTTGTGTGAGGAGTTTTCAAATCTTGGCGGGCTCTGGCGGTTACTTTACCGAACGAATCCCTATATCCGCAATGGCAAAGCTCAACATTTTAAAACTAGCAATCGAGTTAGAGATGTAAATTTTACTTTATAAGCAAGTACCGCGTCTGAAAGATACTTGCTGCTCTCTCACTACCAACCTTTCTGGCGTAACATCTGCGATAAGAATATTTGTTGCCTTAGAGTAGGCGTAGTGGAAAAATCCGCCGCGATTAGCGAGATAAAGAGTTTACGTGCCAATGTGATATACATTAATCCAGATTTTTAAAGTGTTTCATCATTTTTACCAGATATTAGGTTTCAATGCTGCCAAGGAAATTGAAAATGTAAACAATGAAGTGTAACTCCCAAAATGGAAAATGCGAACCTTTACGAGATATTAGCTTCAAGTTAGTAGGTCAATCTTAGTAGTTAATCTTTGAAACTGTTTACTTCTTGTTTAAGGAGGCAGGGAAGTAATTAGCGGAACATACCGGGCTCTATATATATTAAATCACAAGCGTCTCTCCGCCAACTGCGCTCTTAGTTGGTATATTGGTTTATTTACCTTTTTGTACTTATGGCCGAACAGGCCCCTCGCCGTGCCCACCTGAGTCACTGAGAATTTATGGCCAAAAGTTCGGGTACCTCAAGCGATATCGAAGTGGGTGCAGCAGCTTATATTTAAATGAGTCGAGGAAAATATCAGAAAATCCAATAAATGCCAATAGTGGAATGTACGAAAAAGGTATGCAAAAAGTGTGAGTGTTTTTACCTCGGCTTAAGTCTACAACACAACGACCGGCGAGGTGATCATCTAATGCTGCGGGCATTAACTTTCACTAAATGCATCCATGAATTTATCGCCGTCGTCCGCCGTTTTTAGTGGTTGATGAGGGTCAGCAACAACAAAGAATCGATCAGGGCGATCCGTTCCAACCAACCCTTTCTGCCCCGCCCATGGCAGCATGTCAACGGTCAACGGTCATTGCTCATCGTTTGTCGTTTGCCGTTTTTGTTTTGGCTTTTGTTTTCGGCAGATAATTATTGGCGCATCAACATCTTGCTGAACAAGTGCTTTTAAAAGCGATTACAATCAAGAGAAGTTTCTGCGTTATGAATAATTACTGTATTTCCAATTATCTAGCAGATTGTCACAGGTAACTCTTTAAGTTCATTTAAGAGCTCTCTCAATTTTAATAATAATAATGATAGATTTTAATTTAGGAAATGGGAAATCCCATGATGAAGATTTTTAAGCGGACGAAGTCGCTCTGAGTTAGTCATGGATTAATACCGTGGAAATTGTTGTCCCCGTGGGTAATTTACTTTACTGTCAAATTGTTACCAAAAGTTTAGCTAATCTGCCTTCAGCACTCCGATAAGCCTCTAATGCTGACTAAAGCTCTGCGAGAAATCCAAAATTAGCCTGAGTCTGGCAATCCGGCTGACATTTAAAGTTTAAGAGGCCATGAAATGCACGCTGGAAATGTGCTCGGGCAGGGGTCTTCGCCCAAATTGTATCCCATCGGCAGATATTGGTATTGGTGCATAATTATATACCAATAATGGGTCTAATTGGCCAACTGGGGTTACCGGTAGACAAAAATAACTGGCAAGTGAAAAGTGGTTCAGATTAACTATTAGCAGATGGATTCGTAGCGGCCTTCAGACTCCGGCAGAAGACGGAAGAACATAGAGTCGCTTCGAAGGCTTCAGCTTCGAGACTTTTACTAAGACCATATTGAGCGAGGGCATGGCGCAGAGGGAATTCGCCTCTAAGCACAGCAATTAATTACCCGGCAGACACATTATTCCCTATTGACTTTGGCTGCTAGCATGCCACGATCAGCAATCGAAGTCGGAGTCGATATAGCATGATACTTCAGTTACACATCGGGGGATAGCTTATTTATGGATAGAAAAGTTAGCTCAAATATGCAGTACACCCCCAAGATATCCAGTTTGTGGATCAGGGACAAAGAAAACCAGTTTGCGGATCCAGAGTCTGCTGACAGTATTTGTGAGATACAAGCTCGCCGCTCGAGTCTTTCGGTCTGGGTTTCCATACTGCCCCCTCAGTGTTGTGTTTCAAGTGCTTTGTTTTATTTCGTAATGACATTTATTCCGCATTATTGCAACTTAATTAAGGCTTGGTATCGGCGCTGTAGCTAACATAGTTGGAGCTACTATAGGTTCGGTCGAAATCGAAGTAAACTAGCTACATAGGTACATATATTATCACTATATGCCTCAAAATATATATATTTTTTGGAATTGAGATATAATAAAACCATTATCGTTTGGGTTTCGTGTCGGAAAAGAAACTACACTCTATTCGATCACTGTGCCTAAACTAAGACATTCCGTTTTCTCTCCTAGTTTTGGTAATTTTGTGCTAGGGACCAAGGGACCAAATCAGGGGCGGAAGTTGAGGGCGCATTGTTGGGCACTTGTCCGAAATGTACCGACGAATTTCTGAAAATTTTATTTCGGATTTAATGGAGGCTTACGTAAAGCATGGCATCAATGGCTCTTTTGCAGGCCTCAAAAGTAACTGAGAAAAAAGAAAAAACAGCTAAAACGACACCAATTGTGCAATTTATCTTTATTTAATTTAACTTTTACTTTCGTCGTCGTTGCTGTTGGTTGTTGTTCAGTTGTTGTTGTGCTCGGCGAACGCGTTTCATAAATTGCAAATAATTTTTCAGCCAAAATCGACTTGATACAAAATAAAAAGAAAATAATCGAAAAAGCAAAAGAGATATCCAGGCACAGGCATACGAATCGCTAAAGAGTCGGCCCGATCATGGGTATATATATAAATGCGGCGAGGTATGCTGAGAAGAGGTATGCTAATCCGGTAAATCAATTGATGTGCGCCGCGGGCGCTTAAAAAATCGATATAAATTATTAATTCGAAACAATGCAAAGCAAAAGAGTTAAAAAGCCAAAGCAAAAGCAAAAGCCGAATGAAAACCAATCCGAAAAACAAAAGCCGCCGCAGCAGTAGAAAGAAAAGTCCAGACAAGTCGCACTCGAACCGAGATAGAAGAAAAAACCCGAAACAATTTTCTTTCATTCACTTTTGCGTTGGCCATTTAATTTGCCTTAACGAGCCGGGGTCGGGATGCGTTTTGGGGGTAAGAGCTAATATAATTGATGGGCGCATCACGCAGATAGAGCAGAGGTGGGCAACACGTGACTCTATTTCTGCTGGCCATTGATATTATATTGCAATAATTAGAACTCCCTTGCTGAGACCAGTTACATTTAGGAACCGATATCTCAAATACCGATTCCAAAACCAGGATTCTTCATTTCTAACCTTATTCAGACTTCTCGGGAGACCCCAAGTTCGAAGTTGGCAATTTAAATTGCATTGCACTGACCCCCAGGAGGAGATGAATCTGTTTATTATCTTCACTTGTTCGACACGTGCCTCCGATTTGCGAGATTCGATTTCTGATTGCTGATTGCTGATCGCTGATCACAGATCTCCCATTTCACCGCACTCCGTAGAAAGCAAAAGTTAAAGTTAACCGAAAATCGAAAAACTGAAAACTGAAAGCAAAACACATGTATCTTGACCCTCATTAATTCAAGTCAGCTGCCAAGGCATTGGCAAAAAAGAAAGAAGTTGAAAAACATAAGAAAAACCTAAAATTAACAGTTTCAGTTTCAGTTTCGATTTTCGGTTTAGGAGGGGGTTTTCAGTATTAAGTTTGGGGATGGGAACTCCACTCTGGACGCATCAATTAACATAAGAAATTTATTTAAATTACAATATTTCATTTCATACGCGGTCCCCATCCCCTTTTGGCTTCTTGAGCTTGGTGAATGTTTTCACTTTCGTTCGGCATCCGAAAAATAAAAGTCTGCGGTTTGCAATCAGCAGTCTGAGCATCCGTCGGCAACCTGTTTTGGCCTGACTGACTGAACGCTTACGATGATTATTGTGATTATTGGCTGGCGGCCGAGTGGGAAACACTTTGGCTCGAATCTGAACGAAACCCCAAAACACACAAATCGAGTACAAAAAGGAAAGTGAAAATGTTTATCAAAAAAAGAGAGAAAAACAAAGCAGAAGATCGTATAGATCGTGAGCTCCCCCGTCCCGCATTTTCTAGCTGGTAAATTAAGTTGGCAATTTCTTGTTTTGTTTGTTGGTGAAATTTGGCTGACAAAGGAAACTCCTGGTCAGCCGTGAGCGTGTGGAAAGTGGTTGGTGGGGGACTACCCGCTCCACCACAGTGGGGCCGCTGTTTATGGGAACCCTTGACCTTTGACGCCTGACTACATCCCAACCTCTTTAACAATCCACGGCTTACCTTGTTTCTGCGGAGCGGCACGTTCATTTCCACCTTCCCATCTCAGAACTGTGCTCTATCTTATCCGACTTTCGGCAAAATATATTCTGTTATTTGCCTTTTTTTTTTTCATGTTTACTCTCTTTTGACACTGACAATTTAAGGCAAAGGAAATCTTATCACAACAGATGGGAAGACAGATACGTAGATTTCATACTATGAAGAGATACGTACTTTTTAGGGTCAATTTAATATAATTTTGTACCTGACCAACATAGTTTAACTAGGCTTTATCACTCTTATAACTGCTACTATTATTTATCCAAAGCTGCCACTACTTTTAATTGTTCGATTTATTGTCAGATAACCAATGCCGGGACATTAAAGATCCACATCCATATCTGAGACACGAACTGATGCGTAATCAGCTATCAACTAGCTAGCTTTTTGGTCACTTTCACTTGCCAAAAGACGAAAACAAACGAATTATGTATTTTTAGTTGATTAGCCGGTCAGCCGCTGCTAATTTATGTCCGCATAAATTTTAATTTCAATCTCGGACAAACTCTGGAAAGTTTTGGCGCGTAGGTGGCCCGCAAATGGATAGCATTACATGCAGATACTTTTGTTTATTTTGGCATTATGTTCGATTAAATAAGTCAAACAAGACAGTTACCTGGAGTGGAATGGTCCCCGAGTCCGAGTCCCAGTCCAAGTCTGAGTGGATCGGACTGTGCTGGAGTGGGGACTTCACATGCAAATCAGCCAGAGACAGGAAATTATTACAGTGCCCCCCGCCTCCCAAACCCACTTTTCCCGGTCTTGTTTTGGTTATGTGCTGGTGGTTTCGTTTGATTTCACAGTGATTCATTAGCATTACATGCCTTCCGTATTTGGGATTCGAAAATATAGTATGAGCTAGGCCTATGCACAGTGCTAAGCGGCTATATGACTTAGAGCTTTCCGTAAGCGAAGAGCGATATCAATCCGTTATCGGGAATCAGCTTTCTTTTAATGTGGTCACCATATACGAGATGTCCGAAACCTTGGCTGTCTGTCTAGGATTACCTATTGTGTGGATTCCGGTCTATTTCTACTATTTCTACTTATTTACGCTTTCGAAAAACAAAACCTAAAATCACTAAAGATTCTTACCCAATATATTGTACTTTTGATTTATAGTGCCTGGACAACGATGTTAAACTAAAATATTAAACATTGAAAGATAGTTGGAGGAAGGTCGAAATGCATTAGCTCTATACATCCACATACTTGGCCCACATTCTAAGATACCCCCGTACCGCCATGTAAAACTCCGTAGGCTAGGCCAATGTCAGTCTGGCAGGTCTATAATCCGAGAGCGGCTTACGTCATAAGAAAAACGGTCATACGCCAGACGAGATTCGACTGAGCAGAACCAGTTCAAAACCAGGATTGGTGGCACTTGCAGATTGCAGATACTTTGCCAGAAAAAGATGCCGAGGTAGATGCAGATTGTGCAACCTGCGGATTCCATGGAGAAAGCTCAGCGGAATTCTAGTGCATATTACGGTAGTTGTCGGCACAACAGCACTTGTCGTTAGTGATTGGTCGGTCAGAGGAGATACGGGATCTCAAATCTTGTGTCACAAGCTAAGACTGTCGCAGGTAGGCCCGCAGAATGTCAAGTGTAGGAAATAAGTGAGGAAAACTAGGAACACCGTTACTCTGCTTATTTATAATGTTAATTGCAACATATTTTTTTGGTAAGACATAAAGACGTATTTGGCAACTGATGTTCGGAGGGGAATACGATTCATAAACAAAGCAAATACTGAATAGATGGTCAAAAAGGCAATTGAATATTATAACTCAACTATAATCAATTATTGTTGCACAAACGCCCGATGCGTTGCTGCATTGCACCCTCAAAAGCTCTGCTATGTAATTTGCTGCCTCGGACGGCATCTACTTGTTTGTTTTTCGTTTGATTTTGTTTTGTGTTTGTTATGCGCTGCGCTGCATTTCGTCAGCTCATTCAATTAAGGCTCATTGAGGCGCACTCATGATCGGGGGGCGGAGTGAGCGGAATGGCGGGATGGCGCGGTGGCCAATGGGCACTTAATTTCACTGGGGCGCATTTCACTTTCATTTCTACACAATCAAAATGCACGGGTACCCGGACATCCAAACATCGGCGCTCAGGTGGGGGATTCAAAAGGGGCGACTGGAAAAACTGAGGCGCAAAAAATTCAATTTCATTTTATTTATGAGCGGCTAGGCGACACTTTTGAATGCAAATGGCGCTAAATTGTTGGTCAAGTGAGAGTGGACTCTCACTGTCTCTTTTCCTAACCCCTTTCTAATCTCCTCTTCCGTAATTACAGGAGGAAAACCTACTAGCCCCAAAAGGAAGTGTAAGTGGCCCAACGGGACTTCGATTGACAAATTGCCTAGGAGACCATTCGGAAGTAATAGAAGGGGTTCAAAAAGCACTGCAGAGAATTTGGGTTCTGGTAAGAAAAATGCCGAAGTACCTATTTAAAAAGAATGCTTGTTGAGGCCAAATAGACATACAAGAATACCTCCCGAAGCCACCCTTCACTGTTCATATTTAACTTTATAATTTCTTTGAATGTATTTTATATTTTAAGTTTCCCAATTAGCTCCTTTGGCAAACAATAACTTCATTTTACCCTGCCTAGACACAGCATAAGAGTAATTTTGCAGAACCTACTTCGTCCAATCTTTTTCTTAGGAGATTCACTCTTTACTGGTTTATCTGGATCGCGACCCAGAGACCCACTGACAGCCCTAGGAACTCACCGTGTTGATCTTATCCATGAAGACGCTCATATGGTTCTTTCCAGACATTGCGACCCACTGCTTAAGTATTCGAAAACTATATCTTTTCAAGTATTTTCTGCCACAGATGAATGCAGCAACAACCCGCACATCACGCACAGCACATCGCCAATTAACTTGGTGCGAAAAAAAATTAATCAAAAAAATAATAAAAATGTATTTAAATAGGTGTCCGCGCGACGTTGGCTGCACTGGACAGAAACACACGCACGACTTTTTCCAGATAACAATTTGGATCAGTTCGATTTCTATATCGTCTGTAGCATTAGCTTATGTTTTTAACAGCCGGTGGGGACGGGACTCGCTCGCGTGCGTTCTAATCGACGGCTTCCAGCGCATTGAACGCTCGCCGCTCAAGACGTGCCCACGGGAGCGGCGACTTGGCCAAAAGCAGCAGCAGCACACAAAACGAACACGTCGTAGTGAACCGAAGAAGTTGGCCAAGACGGCATAGCAGCGACAGGTGCCAAAAGAGAGCGCAAGAGCGAATGCGAGCTCCAAACCGGCTCGCAGCAGTAAGCTGGCTTTGAGCCTATTCTGTACCCAATGCCAGAGACGGCACTGTGCCCCAGTCCCCACGCCCGTGTTCCGCGCGACCTGACCAACGTATTGGGGCCGCCTTGTTTGCGGTGGGTAGTGGTGTCTTGGGTTATGATGGGCGTTTCTCAAGCGGAAAGGGGAGTGCATTCCAGGCGTACTTATGAAAACAAGGGCGGCACTTAAGTACTCAGCCCTCAGACCCAGTGCTGTGACACTTGATTTTTAAAGGGCGAATCAGGGGTGTGAAAAAGAAGGGCTGATTGCTATGACACTCTGCTGATAGTTTATAGGACAAAGCTTATAGTAGAGGTGAGTCTTATGTCTGCTCTTTAAGCCCTACGGAGTGAGTGCTTGAATTTGACTTTTATCCGATTTTTGGCTGTGTACCTGTGTAATCGAACAACTTAATTAGCTCCGGCAAATCAGCCGCCGACAACGGACAATTGCAAGTCAGTACAATAAGTTATTCAAAACCGTGCATATAGCCATGTCCACCGGTAACTTTGGCAATTGTGGTATCAAATCTAGAGTCGATATCAACAACAATTTGAGGTCGTCATAAGTAAAGCTTTATTTTGTCTCTTTTCATTGTGATTTCTCGAAGTGTCATGCAGAAAATCAAAAATCATGGCAATACCGCTCTGTAAATATACCCCCTCATCGACAGATTTTTGGCAACGATTCTCGTTTTTTATGAAACGGTCCTTATCAAAGTCAATGTTGTTGTTTTTATAACGCAGATCATTGGCCAAATTTGGTGGTCATACAATTTAGAGCCGTGGTTGTGGTTGGTGGCCAACCTCTCTTGATATATTGTTTTTAATACCCTCAACTCGTCATCGCAGACGTTAACAGCCAAAGAAAACCGCTCAGAACATCTACCATTTTAGGGCCGAGTTTCAAACGGAACGGAGTCCGTTAAATACATATTTTACTTAAATTATTTCGCGGCTAAATCCCTAATAGTCCAATAGTTAAAAGCAAAAAGGCATCAAATTTTCATCTTATGTTAATAAAGGAGATACTTTAAATAACTTTTGGAATTTTGCTGTTTCTGATTTAACCGGTACTGACTACGAGCAATGATTACATTTCGGTGGGTTCAGGTTCAGTTATCGGTTAGATGGCAACGAACCCGCTTGCAGATTCCTTACTCACCTGTTGGTAATCGGCCTAGTTGTTAAGCTTAGTCTTTGGCTGCAACAAGAAGAGAGAGGCGAATTAGTAAAAAATCTACGGTTACGGTAAGACGCAGAACTCCGTCATAGTTATAGATAATCAAAGTCTCCCCATTCATTAATGCAATCATCCCGACTCGACCCTTTTCATTTTCCATTCTACCTTTTTATGGGTGTTGTGCCAACTCATCTGAAAGCCAACAGGCTTCGATCGCAATTACTTGGCCATTATAGGATGCCGTCAGACATAATTTTCCATTAGCAGCTTTTTATGGATTGGCTAAGAAAACGTGAGCATAGGTTTGATGCAATTACTGAAACTCCCACTAATTTTACCTGACCGAAAACGCATTTAATCAGATTGTCTTTTCTGGGCACTCCCTTTGCCCAATTCCAGTAAATGCATTCCCATTCCCAGATATTCTTACATGGACCATTTTTAATCTAGTTTCACTCGCCCAGAGACCTTGCGAAATCTCTTTTAGGGTATATGTCTGTCTCCTTTAAGCTTAACACCAAAATCAAGTGCGGAGACCGCTCCTAAGACGGTGGTTGAAAGTGAAACCTTGCCAGCAGCGTCTTCAATTGGTTTCTTTTCGGGTTTCAGCTTTTTATTACTAAATGCGTTTTCAATTTCACTAGAAAGCACAAAACTACGGCCCACTTGATATTCTTACCAAGGAGGAGTCCCAACGAAATGGAGAAATAAATAAACAATTTTTCGGCGCTCGCACCTGACTTGAATAAGTCATTAACTGTGTTCATTTTCCTCAGTGGAGGAAGAAGGCGTTCGGCGCGAAACTATAAACAATAATCAGATTTTAAATCATCTGCAATTTCGCTGAAATTTGAAGTAGCGAACCAAAGACTTAAGCAACGAACCTGGACAAAGCTATAAATGGAAGCTATTTTGATGAAAAGACCAATTTATAGAAATATCTAAATATTCTTGGTCCCGTATTCATAGATTTTTTGGGATCGAAACATGATGATAAAACCTGTCGATATAAATATTGTAATTATATTTATTGATCGTTGTTCGCCCCGCACCCCGACTCGCTCGCATATCCGTCAATTGGCACGGCTCTTTCCGGCGTACGGCTCTTGGCTTTCGGGCAACGGCTTCTTTGGCCAAAACGGGCGAGGTTGGCCGAGAGACTGACAAATTTACATGCGCATTCGAGCGACATTATCGTACGTCGCTTATTCGTTAATTAACTATTCCGCTCAGCTAATATCGGTTTCACCCACCCAAAAGTGGGCGTTTGGGGGGCCTGTTGGTAAACTGTGGAGTGTGAATGACTTGACGCACGAGTATTTAAAATTTGTCGAAGAAAGTCTCCTCTTTCATATGAAAGTTTTGATCTGCGACGGGTTGAATGACTCAGAAATCAAAATAAAAGTTAAAATAAAGATTGTGTTTTCTTGTTTTCATTATTTGCCAATAAACATTTAAAGGGCGCAACCCATGTGAGTAAGTAAAAGTTTCCTAGTTGACATCATCGGATACTCGGATTGCAAAAACGCCATTAAGTGTGCAGTTAAAAAAGAGCATTAAAGGGCAAGCCACTCGAAAACGTCGTAAATAAATCGTAAATGGATCACCAGAGTGCATTAGAAGCAGTATATCTTTTGAATAACATATCCCTAGAATGCTATATCAAGTTTAAAATCGATTTGGCCCCTCCCCGTTCAGCTTGTTAGGTACTTTTGTCTTATTTTTAGCGGTTTTTATTGTAGATGCTTAAAACCGCAAAAATAACAATATAAATGTATCAGCAGACGGGATTCGAGATACTGCGGTGTGATCAGAAAAGTATATGGTGTGCCCAGAAAATGGGGAAATGGGGGGATCGGGGCATAAGGGGATCGACTGCGCTTTTTGATTGCCACGCTACTGTTATTGTAAGCGCAGAGGAGATTGCATTAAAAAACGTGAGTGCGTGAAATGTTTACAGCGAACTCACACTTTACAGCTGCTGCCTTTTTTGGTAATCATCTCAGTTGCTGTCCATTTTTTGTCGGTGTAATTGTTTTTGTTGATCCCTGCTATTGGGGCCATAGAAATGTGTCAATGCGGGATGTGATCAAGTGGGGAATTGGTTTTATTGGTACACTAATACAATCCGTCAAGATGGTTAGCAATTAACTTCGTTGTTGTATTCCAAGACATCTTTACTAGAGGTTCTCATGCAGCTTCACACCTGCTTAATCATTAATTCGCTTCGTTAGACACAACAACTAAACTATTACTTAATTTTAATACAACGAAAATCAAACACGAATCAGCTAGACGTAAGCCATGGATCGAACTTCCATTAATTTTCTTTTTGATCTTCGATGTATTGTTCACGGTTTACGTAATCTCAAATCGCAGCTTTTGTTTTTTATACCAGCAAATTAGAAGCAAGTCAGAAGAAAAGGGGGTCCAAAAACAAAATCAAAAACCAAATACTTTCGATTTCTATTTGAATATGTAAATCGACCAAAGACCGGCAGCAGCCAACCAAGCCATCAGATGGCGCCGCGTCCTAACCCATTGCAATACCATCCACCGCAGACTAAAAAGAAATTCCCATCAATTAATTTTCTTCTTCTTTGATCGCCAGTTTTCGATTTTATAAGGTGTTTTTTCGATGCTGTTGTTGTCGATAGCGAAGGGTTCATCTGCGGCTTGGGAATACCATACAGCGATTTTTGCACACACCGCTAGAGCTTAAAGTGAAATAAAATTTGAATTATAATAAAGTTAAGTTGGTCGTAAATAACGTTCAAAGGCATCCGCAGATCCCAGCAGATATGTTCGGCGACAACAAGAAACTTCATTGGATTTTTTCCCTATGTATCATAGCACATACTTTGGTGTGCGTGTGGTTAATAATTTTACGGTTTCTGTCGTTTTGAATAACATTTAAAAAGCGTAACTATTAATTTGTTTTTTTTTTAACGACCCAATAAAAAATGAAACAACTGAGATAACAAGTTGTGGGATGACTTAAAAACTGTTTTAATAACTAAATATCTTTGATATTTTTTAATAGAATTTGAAGTTGCGATTGATAAGAGAAAGTTTAGCAAACAAATAAAACTAAAATAAATTCCAAAACTTGCTCATCCTTTCAGATTCAGCGATATCTTTAATTAGGTATATGGTTCGGTGTGACCTGACTAATTCCGACTGACAGAAGTTACCTGGCAGACATTAATCACATAACTTACCAGATCAACCCATGCCCAACATTTCGTTCCCAAAAATTTTCCATAAAATAAGCTCAGAAAAGCATGACAATTCGAAGAAGCGACTGCAGATGAGTTTGTGTTTCTTCTTTACGTGATGAGCTTGCATCTTCCCACAGTGCACTCGCCTTCATCTCTTTCTGCCTACTACAGCCCTCTCTTTCGGCTTTCCAAGCACAAGATTCGCTCATAAAAAAGGCAAGGCGCGGACTGTGGCTACAAATCAAATTGTTTTAGATCTTTAACTATTTGTGTCCAAGTTTAATGGTTATGTTGCTTTTGCCTGGGCTTTCACCTGTAGGTTACAAATGGCAGCAGACGTCACGTACGAGCCCACATGGAAAGCCCGCCGCGCCCAACCTTGACC